ATGATTCAAAATATACATGCATCCTGTTTCCAACATTCGTAAACATAGCACATCTACTAGTCATTAAACTGGGATTCTACAATCACTCTATTTCAATGCTCTCTCCCTTTGACTTCATCAGCTTTGTCATCTTCTTGATCTCCTCATGTTTAAAGAATAATGTAGCAATGTCCAACCTAACTCGACTAGCATCAGACATCATTGGCATAGATTCATGTTATTACCCGAAAAATCATACATCTTGTGGAATCACATATTTTCATTCCTGCATCACATTAAATAAAGTATGAACTAAAATCTGAGAAATATCTTGTGCATGTACACACAATCATCTAACAGAAATTTTGACTATCTAAGAATCTGTGACTAAAACATTACAGAATCTTAATAGTATGCAAAATTGGATACAATCTCTTCACATTACACACCCTTGTATTCAATCAAACGGGTTGCACTACATTCATATTTGTACACACTCTTGTCTAAAAGGAAACACATTATGCTATCTAAAAACCATTACTAAAACATTTCACAGTCTCAACATAGTTCATATTGTTGGTCACAATACACATTCAATACATTTGCAATTAACAGTAGACAATGTAATTGTTTAAGACTCACCATGAAAGATTGTCTGATTTTTCATCTCTGTCGATTACTCATACAATCCAAGTGAAAAAATTGGAACATACTATATTTCATGCAACCCGGCATGAGTCCATATTGGACACACCCACCATAAAAGTCATAAAACATATTGGTCACAAGGATCATATTAATAGGTCACAGATGAAAGTGAAACATGCTATTTTTCATACGGTAATAGATGTGCATAATATTTAGTAATATGACCATATTTCTTGAATCAGAGAAATTTCCAACCAAATTTATAGTTAGCTGGTCATACTCGCACAATAAATTTGAAAAATAAATTACCCATAATCTCAAAAGACAACAAAATAAACTTACCACCTTCGATTTAGGTTTTTGCGTGTCAGTCGGAGTTTTGGGGGTTTCTACACGAACTTTCTTTGTGACTTTCGGCCTTCTTCATTTTTCACATTCACAGGTGGTTGGATGTGGAATTTCGTGAAATGGGAATCGAAGGTAGGAGTTCAAAAGAGATAATTTTAGAGCTCTCTGATTCAGTAAAACACATGTTCATGGAGTTGAGAAAGATTAACACAATAAGTTGTTTAATAGACGGCCCTTCCAAATGGCTGATCAAGGTTTTGGCCACCAATTCAATGTACAGAATATGTCAAAACGCTTATGCTAAATCTTGATAACAAAGAGAGTGAATGCAGTAATGGAAGATGGAGTTCAATCGTGAATGAAATTAAGGGGAGATATTTGAGGATTCAGTTATGAATCAATTTTTAAGAGATAGTGTTTACAAATTTAAAAACTCTCTTTCCAGTTTAATATAAATGTTGGTAGTGAGTACGTTGAATAAATATTTATTTACAGGATAATAAAATATAAATTAAAACCTGATTATTGAAATATGAAATTTAATCCTTGATTTCTGAAAGTGGAATATTAAAAGCCGCCCAAGCTATAATTTCCTCAATATTGAATAGGGTAGCTAGTAGGCTAACATTAAATTTGGGCCGAGCTATAATTTTTTTGGACAAAATTTACAAGCATAATTTCTTTATGAACCAAGGCTGCACTAGGCAGTACAGCTACCCCTACACCTGCCCATGCTCACTCGTTTGTGGTATAGAAGACTTGCCAAATTTTTAGTCATGTATACCTTTATTTTTTTAAATTTATTGTTAACCATGCATTTTATGATATTCATAACTTTATTAACTATTCAACTACATTCTATTTCATCAAATTTTATTAAAAATCTAATAGAGACCATTATGACCTTGTTATTCCTTCTCTCAATCCTGTCCCCATCCCCGTCGCCGTCCACGTCCCGCTCCCCCTCTCATTGCCTCATTTTTCACTTGCGTGTAATAAACTTTCTACGGCAACGTTAGGATTCTGAGAAAAATTGTTAAGAGCTCTAACTAATTTAGAGTCGAGTTTAATTAAGTTGAGTTAATTTTAAAACATACGCAATAAATTTGACTAGCTTAAAAAAATGAAAAAAGAAAACGCGTGGTACAAAAGTCAAATTTGATTTTTGAAGTCAACCCAAAATAAGAATCGGAATTTGTAACGAAATTCGGTGGATCCTATCACCTCATTCATCACGTCCCGTGTAATTCACGATTTGATTTTTCTTCTTATTTTCCAATTTTTGCCAACCGCATTAACCGGCTAGGGGGCCCCTATAAAGTTGGGCTAATTTCATTGATAGTCACTAAACTTTGAACTTTATGCTATTCTGGTCACTAAAATTTAATTTATAAGTACCAACTCAATTTGACATTCATTTTATAAGCACATAATCTATAATTACAAGTACTAACTCATTTGGACTGACCTGATGAAGAGGAGGGAATGTGCCGTTTGAGATGAAGCAAAGGATGAAAGTTGCTCCTTTAATCCTATAATTGAAATGAATCCCTTCTTGAGGCAATTGAATTAGGATGAGATCGCTCAATTCAGCTCGCTCCTTCGTCGAATGTCACTAGTGGGGATGTCGCTAAGGAGCCAGGGACATGATAAATCACATGTGTATGAAGGAAAATAATAGTTCTACGATGAAACTGTCTTGATTATAAAATATAATTTGTTGACTAGGCACACAAAATATGTAAAACACTAAATTATGAAAATGAATGTCAAACTTTAGAGGTCTCATTGAAATATTTTGTAAGAGTAATAATATATTTATCCAATCAACATGTAGTCGTGAGAGCTACTGCCACAATATTTGTGGAACATGTAATAATGATATATCTCTGACATCAAGAGTGATGATGAGTAACATTAATCTTTTGTAAGATTTAGTAATATTTTTTAATAAATTAAACTTTAGTGACCAGAGTAACACTGAATGCTAACTTCAATGGCCATTAGTGATATAAACCCTATAAGTCTCGAGAGTGGACAGAATTAAAGCTGGCGAGTCAATTGGTCAACGCAGAAAACCTGTTTGAAAATTTGATCCAACTGATCTGGACAATGTTGTTCCGTTCCTTTCCTTTCACATTTTTGGATTTCTATGTTACTTACCATGTGATTTAGTTAATAATTTGAATAAGTCTTAGCCCCATCATATCAAAGCACAATTTTCTTTCTGATTGTGTGTTTATATACTTGAAAAATTGCAGTGCTTATTCTTCAACAATGGCTGCCAATTGGTTTTCATTTGTATTCTTGCTTCTTCTTCTTCTTCTTGTTCAGTTCCCTGAATTGCAGGGCCAACAAAGCTACGTAAACAACAAACAGCTTAACTGCGAGCAAAACGACACTGTTACTCGCGGCTATGTTTGCAACGGCGCCGCCTCCTGCCGCTCTTACCTCACTTTCCGATCCACTACTATTTACAACAACGCCGTCAATATTGCCTACCTCCTCGCCGCCGATGCATCGGAAATTGCGAGAATCAATAATGTTTCCGATGTGGGTGAGTTCCCTGTTGATACTCTAGTCGTCGTGCCCGTCAATTGCTCCTGCTCCGCCGCTGATTCAAGGTACCAGCACAACGCGTCATACACGCTCAAGAACCAAGGGGAGACGTACTTCTTGGTAGCGAACGATACCTACCAGTCTTTAACCACCTGCCAGGCTATGGAAGCTAATAATCCTTACGGTCCTCGATCTTTGGTTGTGAACATGAGACTCAACGTTCCGCTTTTGTGTGCTTGTCCCACTGCAAACCAGACGGCAGCCGGCTTCAAGTACCTGCTCACTTACCTAATTCGGCAGGGGAATGACTACAGTTCTATCGCCCGTGCATTTTCCGGCGCCGGCGCTGATGTCCAAGGGATCCTCAACGCCAACAAGCTCACTGAAAGCGAGCTCATCTTTTTCTTCACTCCGATTTTAGTACCCCTCACTAAAGAACCCACCAAGGAAAATATCAATGCTATACCTCCGCCGCCGCCTCCTCCTCCACCTCCACCGAGCCTGCCCACCACCCCCTCTGACGAAGGTGGCTCTTCACGCAAGTGGGTTTTCGTAGGAGTCGGAATTGGTGCTGCTGTTTTCGTCCTAGTCTTAATCTCCGGGGTTTGGTTCTTCCTCCACCGCCGTGCCCGCCGCCACCAATTTTTGCCAACGCCACCGTCCCTGATTAAGAAACTCAACGATGAATCTGTAGAGGGGCAGCCATTTTCGTCGGTATCATCTGAAGGGATACGGAATGCAGTTGAAACTCTTACAGTCTACAAATTCGAAGACCTGCAAACGGCCACGGGATCATTTGCAGAAGCGAATAGAATCAATGGATCAGTGTACCGGGGTTCGTTCAAGGGCGATGAAGCTGCCGTGAAGGTAATGAAGGGAGATGTATCGCGTGAAATAGATGTTCTACGGCAAATCAATCATTCCCACATCATTAGGCTTTCTGGTTTCTGCTTGCACCAGGGAGTCACCTACCTTGTTTATGAATATGCCGAGAAAGGTTCCCTCAGTGATTGGCTACAAAATAACAAGATGCAGAACCAAGATTCTTTTAATTCCATTCATTCGACTGGCTTTCTTGATTGGAAACAGCGAGTTCAGATCGCTTATGACATTGTTGATGCCTTGAATTACCTTCACAACTTCACCAATCCTCCATATATCCACAAGAACTTGAAGAGCAGCAACGTCCTTCTGGACAGTAACATGAGGGCTAAAGTTGCCAATTTTGGTTTGGCCAGGAGTTCGGACACAGATCATAGCACACCCATAATGACTCGGCATGTGGTGGGCACGCACGGTTATATGGCTCCTGAATACATTGATAGTGGACTGATCACTCCAAAACTGGATGTCTTTGCATTTGGGGTGGTGTTGTTGGAGCTCATGTCTGGAAGGGAAGCAGTTGCTTCTAAAGGCTTCGATAAAGAAGGCGATTTGTTATCCGCTCGCATAAATGAGGTACTCGATGGGGAGAATGTTAGAGAGAAACTGCAACAATTCATGGATCCTCGACTAGGGAAGGAGTATCCAACAGAATTGGCATACTCCATGGCTCAACTTGCTAAGAACTGTGTTGCTCATGATCTCAATTCACGTCCTGCGGTGGCTGATGTTTTCATGGTTCTTTCCAAGCTTCTTTCATCCTCCTTGGACTGGGATCCTTCAGATGACCTTCAACACTCAAGATCATTTGGCGATGGCAGATAATAGGTTCACCGATTACTATCCCTGAGCCAGCTCTTCAGCTGAAGCTTATCCTACCCTGGTATTGCATTTGCAATCAGCTCATGTCTAGAAGTATTGTCCTAAATTTTTTGGTCCGTTTCAATAAAGTTTTGTGTTGTCCGTATTAAATAGAAAAATACAATCAATAAATTCTGTGTTATGCACCAATGATTTCATGAAAATGTGTAATTTCTTTTCTTGATCTGTTCTTACACAAAAGAATTAGTTGCTTTACATCTTTCTGTGTTGAAAAAGCAATGAACCAGACACAGTGACACAGAAACATTTATGTAACATAGCCCCATTTTTATTGGGAAAATGTTAGGTCTTTAAAGGTTTCAACTTCTTAACAGCTTAACCAACACAATAGTTACTCTTGTTCATAAAATAACAAAAAACTAAAGAATTTGGCACAAACGCGGGGATGCAAAATACAAGCTCTAAGAGATCTATCGTTTCACTCATGATATTGGTACTACAAATTAGCCAATAGTCATATATGTATGATTCTAATCTCAGATAGAAGTACAATATTAAGTAGTAACTAAGGAATGCCCTTGCCATTTCAATAATAGCCTGTACTTTTATTGTGGGTGGAGCAATTTTTTAGTTCAGCTTTGCCATATAGCCTAGTAGATTACTGCATCAATTCAATGGCACCCGAAAGGGGAAAAATTAGATTTATTTCTCCTTTTCCTTTTTTTGGTTGTAAAGGTTTTTGCACAAGAATTCAAGGTATTTTGATTTTTTGCACATTTAAAGTTCCATAATGATTTTCTTGATTTTCTAAATCCTGGTTGTTCCTTCAGTACCTGCAAAAGATGATTTCCTTTTTAATTTTGTACGTCTTTTCCTATACTGGAATAATTGGTTTTTTGCCAGCGTTGCCTGGTCTATTCTGGACATCAGACATGGGAGTACCTTGGTACATAATATTCTCAACACGTTCCTATGTACAGTATGCCAAGGCAACCGGAGAGTGTACCTTCTTGCTGGCTGAGATGGCAAGAAGTGGATCACTTAATGGACAACAACAATTGGTAGACTAGGGAAGATTCACACCAAAATTTTGAGGGCTGCGACTTTATGTTAGTAAGTTTTGATTCTTTCGTGCCTTCTTGGTTGGTGAAGAATACAATTGGATCAAACAAATGGATACTATGAATTTAAAATTTACTCTGGAAAGAAAGCGTGTTTTCCCTCAATTTGAATGAGATTCGTGAGTTCAAGCCTAAAAAAGGTAAGCCGAAATGATGATTTTCCTCTTTCAACCATCTATGTTCTAGTGATCTACGTGATTTATTTCTATAAGCAATTTATTCTTTCATGTAGAAGTTGATTGCTTTAAGAAATAAGAACTGATTTTGAGGGAGTCGTTTATTAATTTGTGTTTTTTTTGCGGGTGCTGGCATGATCTTTTGCTATAAGTAAACTCATTTTCTTGTTTTACATCCTTTGTAAGAGAAGTCAACTTTTTTTCTCTCGAGAAGCCGATAGTACTTGATATTTTCTGAGGTCTGTGGTGATTGAAATATTTGCCTACATTGTCTCACTTGTTGAAGAAGATCAAGCAGTGATGGGAGCATGGGACCATATGAAATCTGGAGTGTGGATTAGCATGAAGAAACGAGTCAATCGGTCAATGCAGACACCCAGTTTGAAAATTAGACCCAACTAATCATGATCACTTTTAAATTTCGTTATGGATTTCTCTGTTGCTTACCGTCTGATCACATGAAAAGCCGGTCTTTTCTGTCTGATTGTGTGCTTTATGCTTGAAATTTTGCAGTAAATTTTATACTATGAACCGGTGATTTCATAAATGTGCAATATCTTGATCTGTTCCTGCACAAACATTTAGTTGCTATGCATCTTCCTGTGTTGATATAGCAATGAACTGATACAGTGACAACAAATTATAAAAACCAGCCCTCATCTAGAAGTACCACAGTTAAGTTGCAAATAACTGCTGGAGCTGGATATATGGAGTATATCTCGTCTCCCTCACCACTTCATGCTGATAACACCAGTGCAATTTACATTGCCCCGAATAGACTATTGGGTATTCTAGAGAGGTCTTTCAGAACCTTTTGACAATCTCCGTAATCTGGCTCCTTCCCATTGAAAGCCCTTTTTTATTCTAGAATACGAATGAAAGTCCAGTTATTCTCTTTCATCGGGGCCCTTGCCATTTCAATAATAATCATGCTCTTCTCAATTTAAGGAAGATCGACCAATACATCACATCAGAACTGGGAAAACGATAGGATTAATATTGAACTAACTGAGTTCACACCGAATACACAACAAAAAATTTGAACGAAAAGAATCCATACATGACCAGCCAAATTAGAAATGAACAGGAGTACATAATCTTTTCGGAATTTGGAAACTTTTACAGCCTGAAACTGCAGGTAACCATCCACAAGCTTCAAACCTAAAACTAAAAGAGATATAAACATTGACGTCCCAGTTTTCTTTCTTAAAGGGTGTAAATTACAAGTACTCCAATTTGCATGTAAAATAGAAATCATATTGTACAGAAGACGAGATCATTGAAGCATCAACCCTCACTCGATATGAAATTGTCTCCCGATTGCCAGTAACTCGCAGTTGTCAAGATAGAAAAATATAAAAAGAGAGGAAAAAGTTACATGTTATGGCAAAGACCATCATCTCACAAATCCTCACTACCTGACTGTTTATATCATTCTATATTCTTCTGCAAAAACTTCCAATATCTCAGACACGAAGGGTTCGTATGGATTGCTTGAAGAATCCATCTAAGAGGATTCTGACAAGAATCTGGATTGGGTGATGATTCTTTCAGCTGTTTAAATAGCAAATGCATTTGAAATAAGAGTTCAGCAGGCCTTTTCTCTGCAAGAAATATATTGCAGCTCAGTATACTTGATAATAAAATCGCTATGAATAGCTGAGTAAGGTAATTGCTCATGTGAAACCACCGAAGACGCGTTGGCTGTTTAATTTTGAATATTATAACAATTATAAGCATTTCAAGAAAGAAAATGGAGTTACTCTTCTGAAGCTTTTAACAGTAAAATGACAGCTTGGACTTGAATATGAGCATGGTTGGTTATGATATTGAAACAACAAGAGATTAGTGTAAGTGGTTGGAGTTGATGGGGTAGGCAATGGTGGTCTTGCACAAACTCACAGCTAATTGTCTTTCATTTATTAGGTTTAGTTGGAACATACAAAATACTTGGATGAAAGACAGGTAATCATGAGTTATGATGGTTCAAGGGCAAGTAGCCTGCCTTCCATGTGTTTCTCTCTAAAATAATTAGTATGATAAACGCTTCACTTCTACTGTCTTGCAACCACTCAGTGGTCTGCTTCCAATGATAGGGCATGTCAATACAGATGTCAACGGAGAAGAAACAGAGTAAGAAATTTTGGAATTTATGTCACAACCAGGTTTCATTAAGGGTGTAATCCCATTAAAATTGTTTATTCCTCAAAATGTTGGTGAATAACATTATGGAAATTTTGTCCATTGTTACTAAATGCTAAGTCAATTACATCTCCAAACCTTGTGCATCCAACTTGGGCCACCGCTCCCTACCAAAATTCCTTCTGAGAAAGTGATCGAGTAGGCATAGTTCCATAGCATTGTCAAAATGGTTGAAACTCAAAACTTTCTAGAAGTTTAATAATTTGGTCCACATTATGGGTACACAGAAAAATAGAGATATTATTTAAGAAAAAGTAAAACCTGGAGGCCAGGAAAACCATTCATCTTGAAGGTTGTCCTTCCACTTTGCTATGGAGCCAAGGCTTGCTTCTGCTTGCGCAAGCAAGAGGGACATAATAGGCAAGGGAGTTGGAGAAGTTTCTTTTGCTTTCTTGAGACTTCTTATAGCTAGTGAGATATACTTTGAATCACACTGCAGTCTGGCAAGCTCCATGCAGATGGCACCTGCCATCAAAAGATAACTTCAGCAATGCGCACCAGAATGGGAATACTAAGTCATCATCGGTCACATTTCTCTTCGAAAGCCACCACCTTTAAGCATTCAGTTGCCAAAAATCTAAACGATTATCTTTCAGGGCACAAATTATTCGAAACGATGAATCAAAGTGAACAAATATTTAGATCCATTTGGGAAGAATTTTTAAATGGTTTAATTTGTAAATAAATAAAAATGAGTAGTGGATAAGTGGATAGAACTTGTTGGTCCATTGGAATGTGTCATCAAAAATGAATTTTGACAATTTATAAATTTTGCCAAACGGAGGCTTTATATTTTACCATGACAAAGAAAGAAGCAACTTTCGCCACTGGCTGCAGAACAAGCTTGCATGAGAAACTCTTCTGCACCGATGAAATCCCCGGACCAAATAGCAATAAGACCCTGTACCAAATCAAATACAGCCATCCACATATTCCATGAAGTTTTGAAGTCTTTGGAGCACTCCTCAAAGTTCAATGCTAATATAGTGGAATCATTTCGGAGCCTGTATCGGGATTCAATAAACTTGAGACAAATCCAACCAATATGAGAATCAGTTCTAAGCTCCATGCATCTTCTGTACTCTTCACTCAAGCTCACAATATTATTTTCGGCAGCATAAGCCCGACACAGTAGCAAGTGCACAAAAAAGAGAGAGCTATTATGAACTGAAAGCCCCGTAGCAAGTCTAGCATGCTTAAGGCACTCGCTATGATTCCCTTGTTGCAAGCTAACCTCAGCAGCACAAAGCAGAAGTTGGAACATATTGTACTGTAAAGACATGTCTTTCCTTGAGTACAACTGATTAGAAAGAGCCACAGCTACTAGCCGCTCTAAAACAAGGCAAATATGTCGAGGAAATCTCTCTTCACGTGCCTTCTGTAGATAGTTTACAGTAAGCAAATACCTCATGTTAAGGTTCCACGGCTCTTGATGCAAATTCCTGCAACAGCACAGAATTTAGGCAGAAAATATTTTTCATGATCTTTTGTGACCAAATTTATTACAAATGCCTGCATCAGCAACTGTCTTTCCAGTCACATAAGACAATAAAATCCAGAAGTGCAACATCATCAGGGAAAATAATAGCGAAAAACAAATATGGTAATTTTTGAAGGCATAATTTAAATGAATATATGTGCCCTTCTCTAACAGTTTAAGCTATTAAGTGAGATGGTTAACATGGAATGGCAAAAGAACTGGGTACAAGTCTTGTCTTCATCCATTTATTTAAAAATGTGCATATGTTAAGCCTTTTATGAGGGAAGGGAAAAATAAATAAATAAATAAATAATCTGCACGTTAACAAAGACATTTTTTAAATAAACCTGTCCCTTTCTCTCTAACAGTTTAAGCTTTTAGATGACACGGTCACCGGTAATATTAATATTTCGAAGCATAAAAGGTAAAGTAGCTTACTTTTGCAGAAGTTGTATGGCTCCAGATCCAGAAGGCCATTGGGGTCTGCAGGTGGGGAAGGAAAATCTCCCATTATAGCTTCCAGTTGAATAACAAGCAACTGTTCCAGCACCAACAATCTCAGATGCAGATTTCATTCCCTCTTCTTTTTTATGGTCAGACAAGTCTATAAAGGAGCTTCTAGTTGCAAGATAAAGATCTCTCTGTTCTTTGCTAGATAGTAAGATATAACCCAGAAGATTTCTGATGGAAGCAAATGACATCAGAGGAAGCATGGGCATGATAATAGAACATAAGAAAATAATTCCAGAAGAATATTAGCAACATTGTTAAGGCAATGAAGACTAATCAAAATAAGAATGGGTCCAGACACCTACTGAAATTACTACACAAATTGAACTTGGAGCTCAATAAACAGTTGATATGAGATAGATGAAGATACACAGATATGTTCTGTAAGACCAGAAGAAAGGAGAACAATAATTAAGACTGAGGCACTAAGCTAAACGGATCCTCCCACCCCCACCCCTACACCTCCATAAAAGGGAAGAATATAAGAGCAACTAAGAGATGGCAATGCATGTGCAACAAAAGATACAGCTGGAATAGAAAACTTCAGAGAAAGAGAAAGCATGGTGAACCTATATATCTTAAGCAGAGAACAGTTAGCGTAAATTTATCTGTAGGGCGAGATTTAAGAATCTGAGGTCATAGTTTGGTAATTTCTTTTATAAAACAGAAAGTGCTCTCAAAGATCTTTTTCCCTAAATAGTCATAAATTTTATTCGTTGATTTATCAATCTAGGTAATATAGAGTTTACAAGAAGGCAAAACGAAACATGCCAGCTACTGGTGTTAGGAATACCACTTAATTATGTTATTTGAAGTCTTGATTAGTCAACCAAGAGAAACAAATTTGCCTGGCACAGTTAAGGTGCATTTCCATCAAAAATCTAAAATTTGGATCAATAAATGCCATTAAGCTTTAGTTTCTTCCAAGAGTTCAACTACAATACACATGCACTAGTTCTGCCTACAAGTTACCTTAAATTAACTTAGATAAAAGTAAATAATCATTAGCAGGTCCCTCTATCTCACTTTTCTAATGGACCTAACTCTAGAGAAGACACAGAACAAGCAACACACTGAAAGTTGAGGAAAAATGGAACAAGTGTTCAGAAGAATAACACAGAACAGCTCAAACTCATACTGGAATAAGAAGGCCAAACATGTAATTACCTTAAGACACTACTGTTAGGGTACTTGTGAAGAGCTTTCCTAAGATGATCTACTCCGTTTTGAATTGCTAGGCAGTCCTTCGATCCATGCTTGACCTGAGAAAAGCAAAACCAGATAAGCTACTAAAATAAATGACAACGAAGTCTACAAGAACAATCCATAAAATCTTGAGGCTTACTAGTTTACCAACTGCAATTAACATGTGCATTGCAGTGATCTCTTCATGAGATGCAAGAGAGGAACGACTACTTGAGACAACAGCGTCGAGCCGATCATTTTGATCCAAGACATGAATGGCAGACACAACAAAACTTATTTTTGAACTCTGAAACAATTCCTTGGGCATTTTCAAAATGCTTGTGATCGCGGATTCCTGCCCAGAAATGTAATACAGCAACCTGCATATTAAACTAACAGAAGCAGCAGCAAGTTTTTGTTCCATGGATAAAATGCCTGCAGCCAGTGCTCTTGTCACGGAAAGAGCCAAATCATTCTTGCCAAGTTGCCATAAACTTAGAGCATATATATGCAGGCCTTCAGTATCAAGCAGGCCTAGAACATTAAGAAAGGACTGACATGTAAGTACATATACAGTTCCAAGCAAACATGTGGTGTGGAGAAATGACCATTTGAAAAGTCGATCCGTATAGAATAAAAACCATATCAATAAAAGCAGATGATCCATTTCACGACTTCATTAATCATTTCCTTGAAATGGCAAGCAAAAAGTTTTCCAAACTGTAAGTCAACCTTAATAATATCGTATGTTAATAACTCTCGTAATTAACATAATGTATAGGAACCAACATTGTTCTTAGTCCAAAATTGAATATGTTTTTGTTTTTTTTTTTTTGGATCCGTATAGAATAAAAACCATATCAATAAAAGCAGATGATCCATTTCACGACTTCATTAATCATTTCCTTGAAATGGCAAGCAAAAAGTTTTCCAAACTGTAAGTCAACCTTAATAATATCGTATGTTAATAACTCTCGTAATTAACATAATGTATAGGAACCAACATTGTTCTTAGTCCAAAATTGAATATGTTTTTGTTTTTTTTTTTTTTGGAAAGGTAATCAGAAATTTTATTAATCAAACAATAATACACATGAAGTGTATTATCGATACAAATCCGAAAGAAACGTGATAAAATTGGGCAGCCCATCTATTTGCCTAGTAGCCGCCACATTAAACCCAGTATACAATGTAAAATAAAATAATTCTCAATGGACCAGACCCTAAACAGATGACCCATCCCCACCGGCCTCACGCCACAAAATAGCAGCCACCAACCCATGCATGTGACGGCTGCATCTGTTATCTCCAGCCCTATTCCAACCAGATCCAGGCCTCACACGCCTGACCGGCCGCCTCTACAGGCTGTTCCGACTCATGCCGGTGAGGCGCGTGAGCCACCGGCATTTCTGGCGGCGCGTGGGCCCCACATGCGGCCGCTGAAACCCCACCTCCGTCTCCTCTCATTGTTGAATATTGTTATAACCAATAACTAATATTTCTTCTAAAGACTTTCTTAATATATCAATTTTGTAATAGATTATTTGATTAAAAATATGCACACACATGTATGTATATACAAGCACACTAGCACCTGGTAAAAAAATGATCACAAAGTATCAAAGAGCAGTCTGCACAGTACAGATACGATACACTATCAATGAACACTAGATACATATATTATAGAAATGCTTGTATGTGTTGAACCACCTCATCCAAAAGCTTAAACTATTTGGGAAGTTTATTGGTATTATATAATAGGCAGTATCCATTTTTAGTTAAAAGGATGACTGTGAAACTTAATTCTAGGTTCTTTGGCTACTCTGATACCACGATGATTGTTCAATTGCCCCATCTAAAAGTTTAAGATGATAGATATATTAATACTAAGTTGAACCACCATATTTAGAAGCTCAAGCTATCATATGCAGTATGAATATATTTACTTGTATATTATCTTCAATAGTACGTCTGTCTAAGCGTGCATTTATAGGTTTATAATTCATTTAGCATCCATTACCTATACTTGAGATGAAATTGTTTAAAATACAACTTCCATTATCACACAAAATGTCTTTATTCGTCAGGTCATAGACGCCAACAATTATAGAACTATCCATCATCCCAAAATGATATAAAAATCTCAGCCACCCTTAGAGCCACTAAAGCAACACAGTCAATATTCCCTTGGATAAGCGAAATTTTAGAAGATTCAAAACTTGGGGTGTTTAATCATTGTAGTATTCAATTGATAGACACGTCATTTGGGAAAACACACACGAAATAACCTAAAAATGAGAGCCTTATAATCAGAGAATCATTTCAGGGAAAAATAATGAGCTAAATATGTTTCAGTAGGTAAAGTCAACCTCTTGTAGTGAATATTCTATGTTAATAAACTTTTGTAATAAACAAAATATGTATGAACCAACTTTTTTACAAGCCAAAAAGTTGATATTTCTATAACCAATAATTAAAATATTATTCTTGAAACTTCCTTAATTTATCAACTGTAAGATAAAATATTCTGAAAGAAATTTACAAACATACATATATGATATATGTGCATTTATACAATTGTGCGATCATGTACAGACACTAGCAATTTGTCCGTAGTTGAGAAGTCACCAACAAGAAGTATCAAGAGAAACAAGCAAAGAAAAAATACAAAAGGGCAATCCTCACAGCACGGTTACAGTATCCACCATTCAACAATACAGAGAGATTACTTGATGCGGACATCGGCCTAAATTAATTTACTTCTTGTTTTATTTATTAATGTCTTTCTATTTCTAGTTGAAATTTATCTATGTCTTGAGATTCTTATTTATGTAATTGGACTTGTATTGGACCAAACCCGTTTTAGGTAGGTTTTTGTTTTGACTATTTAAACTTAATTGCCACGTAATTTCATCAGTTTTGAGGAATGAATTAAATTGCGTTTGGTTTGTGGCCATATTTTCCCTCTCCTTCTTCCCCTCTTTCTCTATTTCTCCCTTCTCCTTCCCCTTCCCCTTCCTAACAGTTCTCTTCTCTTCTTGTTCTTCTTGCTGTGGTTAATTCTTGTTCTGACTTATCGGTCCTGCATCAAAGTGGTATCAGAGCCAAACTTGGGAAAACATCTTCTACACAATTAGTTTAATTACAGATACCCATCGGCTGCAACTTTCACCAACCACCTACAAGTCAACCGCCACAACTATGATTCAATCCACCACCAACCATAAACAAAGATCCTCCCTTATTAATCCATGGAAACGACAACCATCAGCAACCCATGCATATATCCCCCATATACCAACATAAAAGTCCCAACAAAATTAGCCCACGACACACCACCAACAGCGCTTCCAGTAACCAGATTTCCTCAAAACCCGACTCGACTGCACCCTGACGTCTTCATCTAAGTAACCCACAATCTAAAACTACTATAACAGCCCATTTTCAAAAAAAAAAAAACCAAAACAATAATATCCCTACCTCAGCCCAGAAAACTCCACCTGCTTACTTGTTGCTGCGGCCCCTTCGTTTTGCCACAATCGACACATTAAACAAACCACCTGCTGCTCCTAAACCGGCGACCCAAGCAGTCAACCCTCTCCCTCGCCGACCTCCTCCACTATCACAAGTCCCGACTCCAATCGCAGCATCCCACGCTGCCATCTTCATCCAACGGCCGATCCCAGAGTTGGCGTGAAACTAGGTACTTATTTTCAATTGGGCTGTGTTTACAATAGGTGTCTTGAGCCTGGCTTATGCCTTTTATGTTTGCAAAGAGTTTAATTGGAGGAAAATATGTATGGTTATTATATATTTTGGGCCTTAATTTGCCATTGTTGGTTTACTCAAAAGTGTAATTTGATTTTAGTCCAAAAATAAATAAATAAATAAAATAAAATAAAATAAAAATTGAAAATGAAAAAAAAAAGGAGAAAAAGTGAAAAAAAAAATTCTGCCATTATTTGCACGTGGTTTTCTTTTTATTCCTGTTGATTGACACAGCCGCTCGGACGATTTAGTCTCCGCTTTACCACCATAGTCGTGCCTATCATGAGATTCATGATTATGGCATTGTTCAACTCTTGTAAGTCCCCTGAGGTAACAATTTTATTATATTGAATATATGCTTTTATTTTAGTGTTTTAGCTTGTCAATAAATACAATAAAAAAATGCTTTGGTGTGAATATCAAACGTTAGAAGTCTACTTGTTGACAAATAGACGAAAACTTCTTCAATTTTCATTGCCTTCTAACAAACTCCTATCATTACTTGAACACACTAAGTATTTGCTTTCACGAGTGTACCAATTATCTTCTGTTTCCATGCTTACATCTATAAATACACTTAGCATGGCATTGGTTTCAAATAAGCTATTAAGACATCCTGAATTTGATATACAAGTTACAGTTGTTTCTTATCTTGGTGAAGTATTTCGCATTATGGCACCAGATCCTCCTTTTTGTGATGAAATAATGCAAGATACTTTTCCCTTGATTATATCATCATTTGCATATCTCACCAGCACATCCATCAATTTGTATGCTACGAAAGTTAGGATACTAGATACCATGGCTAATGCGAAATACTGCCTTATAATGTTGGACCTAAATTGTGAACGTACGATAATTGACATGTTCCAACACTTTCTTGTAGCTCTAAAAGGAAATCGTTTAGGGAATGTCTTCACTTCCATAAAGACTATCATGAACTTTACATTAGAAGAAAGTGATAATCTTTCTCTAGATTTAATTACCCTTCTTTTGAATAGTGTTCAAAATAAACATAAAGATGTTTCTCCTATTGCATTTAGTGTGGTGGATAGACTTTTTGAAAAGTGTGTTAACACAATCAAACCTTGTCACGGGTTATAAAATCTTTAAGGATTTGTTTAGTTGATTATAGTGCAATTCTCCCCTCCATTTTCAAGGAAGTCGAAAGCTGTGAACAAAGTATCGTGTCCTCTATTTTGACCACACCTGTAGCTAATACTCTTAACATTGACATAATTGATAAAGAACCTAAAATAATGTCATACAAGTCAAACATTTCAGATGTCCTAGATCTTGTGTATACTATGTTGCACGACTTTCATGTTGAATTTTTTTTAGTCCTTCCTCAATTACATGAGACTCCACGAGTTACCACATTATTTTCTAAGGTCATTACTCGATTGCACACTCTTCCTATTGACATTAGGATGTTGTCCACTAATTATCGACACTCTGTGCTAGCTCATCATTATGTTGGTAATGTTCCTAAATTTCATCCCAAGCTAAAAGGTCAAATCATTTCCAATCATGAAATTTTTTAATTTACTTTCGTACCCCGTTTGTTTCCCATTTATGTAAAAATGAGAATAAAAAATATAGTCGTTACAGGCCTCACACAAGAGATAGAAATTCAAATATGGTGGGTTGATGTGATGGATAACGGTCATATTTTTCATTTTAATGAGGAAAAAATGGGAAACAAACATGGGCTCGATGTATAATATAAATTAGAACGCTCTATTAAAGAATATTATACTTTATTAAGAGTCTCTTTGATCCGCTTTCCCAAAAATGTGAAGAAAAAGTTTTTGGACCACTCGTATAAAGGTTTTCCATTTGATTGGCCATCTCACTTAAATGAAAGTTATATTTTCAATGTGAAAGAATTGTTTCCTAATCGGGACTAATTCGAGCCTTCGATGTTGCAATTTTTTGTCACTACAGGCCAGCCTTCAGTGCTAATTTCTTATGCTCCTCATTATACACAATCACGTGGAGATTTTGGGGTTGAGTTGCATGAGCGTTTACTATTTGGAGATCAATATCGGCATTTGATTAAAAAGAGAGATCGTCCTCCTTGGGTGGATCATAGCTTTGAGGATAAGCTGCA